AATTATACCCACTCTCCTTTCTGACTACTCTTCGTCGATATCTCTCTCCGCCGCGTCCGATTCGTCTCTCCGCCACTCCCGATTCGTCTCTCTCTCTCTCCGATTTTGATTCCTTTCTTCCTCTCTCTCGGCTTTGCTTTGACCGGAACATTGTCCCGGCAGCGATTCGACACCTCACTCCTCGACTGTACTGTCTGGTTTCATCGCCGTCGTTCTCTCAACTCCGTGAGAAAAATCCACAAGGATTGCCTTGTCGAAGTGAAGCCGGAGTAGTAGTAATCGTTATAACGAGAGAAGCCCTAAGAGTACCGTCAATCTCCATCACTATTTGACTATCTTCTTCTTCTTCTGCTCTAATTATATCGCGCACATTGTGGACACGATGGATAAGTAAAACTCGATTTGCATGTGAATAATTTTCAGGTATACTAAAATCCTTAGTAGCGAAGATCTTCTCTCTCTCTCGACCTTTGTGATTTTAATTTCTAGGACATTTTTTCTGAGTTCAGTACTTGGATTGCTATAAATTGTGTACGACACAAAACCTGAATCTCTTCTAAGTCACATAGCGAGTTTTTTTGAGGAATTTCTTAGGTCACATACGAATTCTGCATCTGGATTGTGATAATCTCTGAAATTCGTTTGTTATTTTTCGTCGTTCCAGATAAACAAAGATGAGCTACAACGGAAGTATAAACGTTTCTCATGATGCTATGGTTATTAAACCCGAACACCGTCCTATGCTTCAGAGCAATTCACCTAGAAGCCATGGTTCCAAAGGAAATGCTCTACCTCAAGATTCAGAAGAAAATAGAGGATCAGTCGGTGGTCAGAGTAGCACTAGTGTGGTTGATCAGGTCCGGACGCCACCTGAAGATGCCGGCGTCACTTCTTCATCCACCATTTGTCCAGCTCCTGTTTGTAGGCAATTCTGGAAAGCTGGAAACTACAATGATGAATTGACTTCAAAGTCTCAGCAGCCAAGTATGCAATATTTGCTTATAATCACTTGTCATTTACTTTGTCTTACTCTTTGCTTGGATGAGTTGGTTTTTTATATCTCTGGAGGTTATAATGTTTCGAGTAATACACGCCAGAAAACATTGTTTCCTATGGTTTGATTCTCTATATATCTGGAAGCGTTTTGCTTATGGTTCTTGAGATATGTTTCACAGCTGGAAAAAATTATCTTCATGTGCACCCTATGTTCCTTCACTCCAATGCTACTTCGCATAAATGGGCTTTTGGCGGTATGTTATGCCTAAACAATCATAATTTTCTCTTTTTTTGTATGTGGCTGTCAAACATTATTCAGTTGTTTTAACAAGACTTCTTATCTGGTTTTCTCTACCTGCAGCTGTTGCAGAACTGCTTGACAATGCTGTTGATGAGGTATGACCTTTCTTTTGATGTGCTCAATGTTTTGATTTGACTACCTGATGTTTCATTCTGCAAATGTTTGAATAAGATTCTTTTGAACGTTTGTTTCTACACGTCTTAAATGTCTTGAATCTTAAAATACTTGATACACTCATATAAGAATATTCTTGATCGAGAGCTTGTCCCTTGCGGAACCCAAGTGCCTCACTTTCTGACTTTATTTTGTCATTTATTTCATTGAGGTGGAAATGTGCCCTAAATATTAGTAGATCATCTTAAAAGTTCTGAATGACAATTTATTAATATGTTTTGTGCTCTGTATCTTCATCACCCTATAGATCCAAAATGGGGCCACTTTTGTCATTGTAGATAAAATCACGAATCCAAGGGATGGTACAACAGCATTGCTAGTTAAAGGTACTTTTGCATGACATCTATTTGGTTAAGTTCCACACCATTTCACGAAGGTGGCATGCCAAAGTAATACTTTTCTAATCATCTTTGCATAAAATTTTCAGATGATGGTGGTGGGATGAATCCTCAGGCAATGCGGCATTGCATGGGTTTTGGATTCTCAGATAAGAAATCGGATTTAGCCATTGGAAGATGTATGGATCTTTCTCCTCATTCTTTGTACTAATATCTTTAGTTATGATTCTGCAACACATATCTCTAGTTATGATTGTGCAATACATATCTTTAGTTATGATTTTGCGACAGTGATCTTTAGCTATGATTCTGTTTCTCATTCTTCGTTATGATTCTTTAGATGGAAATGGTTTCAAGACCAGCACAATGAGACTTGGGGCAGATGTCATTGTTTTCAGCCGCCATTTGAAGAACCAGTGAGTGGCCATTGTTGGTTAACCTATGTGCTGATGTTCTAACATTTTTCTATCCAATTATTTTTCATTTGTCAATCCTAATATTTTGGGGGATTACAGAAATAGTAAATACGAGTGTACGTTTGATTGTTTTTACCTTTCTGGTTCCCTCGATTAATCATTTTGTTTGCTTTCTAAACAAGAGAAGGTGCTGATTGTTTTTTCCCCATCTGACTAGAACATGGACACAAAGTATTGGGCTCCTTTCTTACACATACCTGACACGTACTGGCCATGATCGAATAGTTGTTCCCATTGTGAGTCTCTGTCTCTCACACATGTAAATGTACCTTGTTTTTCTCTATCTAACCGAGTTGCCTTATGAATATTCAGTTGGATTACGAGTTTAAGGCATCAGTTAGCAAGTTTGAGACATTGCAAGACCGAGAACATTTTATATCCAGTCTCTCCATTCTGCTAGAATGGTCTCCATTTTCAACAGAGGCAGAACTTTTGCAGCAGGTAAGGCCAATTTTCTTTTCACAATTTTCTCCATTCAGCCTATGTTGTTTACAATCTGTATATATATATTGGTTACTTGGTTAAAAATTTGTGGTTCCATGAGTGGGATATTTCCCTGTTATGCTACTATTCATGAAAGCTTTTGATGAGCTTTAAGTTCCATATATAATTACTTGATCATAACTTTGAAGCCATCCACGATTACTCTCCATTTCTATAATTCTATATTTCTCGGATGTTGTCGCCTAAGGTAGCATTTATATCTTCTCCCATTCCTTTAATACATGGATGAATGAATGCTCAGGTAAGGTAAGTGAGCAATTCAATGTAATTTTTTGTGTGCGCTTTAATTAGGCTCCTTCATGTTGGCGTATTCTCTGTTTGTGTTTGCCCCTGCATCATATAAAAAAGAATCTTTATCTGATATGTTACGAAGTTCCTCACTTTGGTGACATCTTGCTCTTTTTTCCTCGTGGCAGTTTGACGACGTTGGACCACATGGGACAAAGGTTATTATCTATAATATGTGGCTCAACAGCGATGCTAAATTGGAATTAGACTTTGACTCGGTTGCAGAGGTTAATATTATATATCTTTCATGTTTCTGATCTTCTTTTCATTGCCAAGTATTATCATTTAGTTGAGATATTGTTTTGTTCCTTTTTTTTCTTCAGGATATTCTCATTGAAGGAAATGTAAAAAAAACTGCATGTAAGATTGCGAATAATCATATCGCAAACCGGTTTTCTTACTCTCTTCGCGTAAGCTTCTATTTCTTTTGGTCAATAACTGTTTATACTTAGGTTCATGTGCAAGTGGCATACACGGTACTATTGAATCATACATGTATCCATGAATCAAATTTACTCATTGATACTCATGAGAAATACGTAATACACCTAGACATAGTTAAAGGGCTGCAAACAGGTGTATATCTGAAAATACTTGTGCAGCTGTGTTTATCCAGTTGCTATACAAAAGACCAACTGGAATGTGATACTTTCTACTGCTGATAAAATTTTGCAGGTTTACCTATCCATATTATACTTGCGGATTCCTACGACTTTCCAGATATTGTTGCGTGGTAAGGTTGTGGAGCATCATAACATTGCTGATGATCTCATGCATCCGCAGTACATCTTGTATAAGCCTCATGCTGCTGGACATGAAGAGGTGCGCAAACTTTCTGGAGGCTATTGTTTTTCTTCTTTTAGAACTTCTTAGTTACTTTCCCCTTTATTATGATATGAATCTTGGCGTTCAATTAACAGGCTGAAGTTGTAACGACGATTGGATTTCTGAAAGAAGCTCCCAAAGTAAACCTACATGGGTTCTGTGTTTACCACAAAAACCGCCTAATAATGGTGAGTTTTGAAATATAAATATGTTAGTTCACATTCACCAGAAAAAGGGATTATCAGGATATGAGTTAACATTTTGTTGCATCCTTATTTGTAAGGCTGTGCCTTATATAACTCAAGGAAAAAGTGTCTAAAAGTTGCTGGACTTCTCTACGCTGATGCTAAAGGGTTTTTTATTTACTTAACATGTTATATTCAAAATTTGCCTCAAAATGGTTTTTTTTTTTACCCCAGTTAAAGACTACACAATCAGTATCTTTTCAAGCTTCTATCACAAATCCACTCGTAATTTTGTATGTTATTGTGACCTTGTCTTATTTCTTTGCTCCTTCCAGCCATTTTGGCAGGTCGTGAATTATACAAGCAGTCAAGGACGAGGAGTTGTTGGTAAGAAGCTGCATAAAGGATTGATCAATAAAACAATGGATTCCCACTGATTTGGTTGTTTACAGCAGAGTTCTTTGTGATGGGTGCATTTATGTTAAGTTTTATGTGTTGGCAGGTGCTCTAGAAGCTAATTTTGTTGAGCCAACCCATAACAAGCAGGATTTTGAGAAAACTGTCCTCCTTCAGAAACTTGAAAACCGTTTGAAGGAAATGACAATCGAGTATTGGTAATCTTCCTAAGCCTTAACTTTTTGGTAGCTGTTATGTTGCTACTTTTATCTTTCCCTCGCCAAAGTAGATAATACAGAGTTTTCATAGTGAATAGAAGACCATATAAGATATCTTGTTCTCTTACTGAGCATGGGATTCAGTCCCCCGTTTCGCCTCTAAAAGTTTCTCCATCATCTCTTTCCAGTGTTTCTTACTATTTCAAATGATTGGAAATCTTTAATAGGAAGTGCCATTGTATGTTGATTGGGTATCAAGATAGAACGAAGCCTCGTCTTAAGGTACCTCAAAATGTTCGACCTGGCGGTAGGACAAATGGCAACATGACACAGAAGAATTCTGCTGGAGACAGTTGCAGACAAGCAATAAGTCCTCCTCCAGGCTTCCGAGCAGTTTTTTCGAATGCAAATTTGGCATCTCTCCCTAGGGTTTCAGTTGAGCCAGGTAAAATGCTACTAAGAGTTGAAACCGTGAAGAAAGTGGGATCAACTTGGACTTTGACTATATCAAAAATTAGAGTTCTAAATATTGGACTGCCTGGTCTGAATCCGTAACTTGAAACTATTTAATGAAAACGCAATATCTTACTAAAAAGCTGTCACTCTTTATCTAAACTGATGACAAGTGTTTCTACTGTTAGTGATGATGTAAAAGGAAGATTTATTTAACACATTCATTATGTTGGACGTTGTTTTTCCCGAATTCTCTCGGATGCTGGCATGTAATGATGGTTGCATTATTGTTGTAGTGGTGTTGGAGAAGAGGAAAGAACATCCTGATTTTGTTGCAAGTGCAGCGTCAAAGAGAAAGGTGGGAAGCGATGGCTCTACTGTCCCGGTGCAGAATCGGGCTGAACAGGTACCTCAAAATATCTTTCTTCTCTTTGATTTCGTGTTGAACTTGTTTGACCCCAAAACTTTGACGCTGAATCCAGAACTGCAGATAATGCTAGCTAGAGTTTCATCTCATCACTGTTTGAAGTAAACATGACATTTCCCTTATGTGATATTGCACATGTGCCCACACACAAAACATGATAGAAACTGTTTTTGTATAACCCCTTGTGCCCATTTCTGTTTCTCTAACTTCATTCACTTTGCACATGTCATGAAGTTTATTCATGGATCTGCAAATCGGTCACAAGATATTGAAACCGTCAAGTTGATGGAAGAAAACAAGAAGCTCCAAGCAAAGTAAGTCAAATTATGTTTAACATATATTATCAATTTCCGTTTGCGTTTGTGATTACTGCCAGAAATTTACTATATTTCTTATACTCAGATGCTTGGACCACAAGATGCGGAGCCAAAACCTTGAAGTGAAGGTAGTTCCTTGTGACATTAACAACCTTTTGATATTACTTGACCCTTGCATTTCCTTTACTTGTTTTGACTTACCATTGTTCCTGCCAAATCCCACTACCATTGTTATTAGATTGGCCTATATCGCCACAACCACCTCCATATTCTGCTGAATGAGATTCGACAATGAGTTTTGAGTCAAATGATTTTCAAAACTTGCTTTTCTCGATCTTGTTTTTGTCGTGATACATATCTCGTTTTGTTCTGTGCAGGCCTTAAATCTGAGGAGTGAGCTGGAGAACGTTAAAAGTGAGTATGAAAGGTTGATGATAGAGCTACAAGCTTTGGATTTGGTGAAAGATGAGCACAGAAGAAATGTAAATACCTAGAAACTTTATCTGCACTTAAAAAACACCTTTTTTTTTGCTTCGGTCATATCCTTCTTCTTAGGTATGAAACTAAAGATCCTTAGTTTATGGGTCGCTAAGTTAGGGGTTTGCCTAGGGTAAGACAAGACATCCTGTGAAAACAGGATTCATGTTTACGAAACTAACGATCCTTGTCTAGGAAGTTCAGGAAAATTATGGAAAAAAAACTAATTTTCGGGGAATATTATTCTGTTCAAAAAATTATTTTCGGTATTTAATTTCGAGCGGTTATAACTATCACTGACTACATATGATTATTTCTATAATTGAATTACAAATTTATATAACTTCACGTTAACTATTTCTATCACTGTATTGTAATCCCAGCATTTAATAATTAATCTCCACTTGCATATTCAAATTATAAATTCTTGACTATTTTTTTGGTAATCTATAAAGTCTTGATTTGTTTAGACTTTATAGACCATATAACCAAAATTCTAAATCAGGAAATAATCCGGCTAATTAAAATGTTAAAATAGAAAAAGAAAAATAATTTAACAATAATGACAATAATAATAATCCAGCCAAAAAGAATGTGTAAGTGAGACGTCACCTGATGCCAACAACCCAATAAAACGCATGGAAAACCCATGAGCCAACGGCTAGTCACGTGAGACCGCACAAACACCCATGTGATATATTACCGTTGAATAACGTTAAAGGCTAGAATCAGATGCTTCAACAACATTTTATACTCCTCATGGGTCCACCACGATATCATGCCACGTGGAGAGAAACAATTCGTTCTCACGGATTTCCATGGGCGTTCAAAAACATGAATGCGGGTGTAGCAGATCCGCCCATCTTGTCGGCAATACTCTAGTGACTATCAACCGTTAGATCTCCATCGCGCCAAAAAAGGATAGGGTATTTTCGTAATTACGTAACCTTTATATTAATTTAAAATTAATTAGTGAAATATAATGAGCTGGAAAATACTCAGACTCCGAGTGAATTTCCTTCCCCCTTTTTTATTTTTTCCATCGTTGTCTGAAGAAGAAAGAAACCGAAATCGATTCAATACGATTCGTCTTTCTGGTTTTGTTTTCCC